GGGATTTATTGTCTATACATACTTCCATATAGCAATATCACTTGGCCAATGTCACTCCCGAGCACTTCTCCCTCCCACCCCTGGACCCTTTCCTCTGCTGACCTCCCTTTGGTCATCCCCACCCCTTCCACCTTTCTTTTCCTTTGTCTCTCTAGTTTCCATATACAAGAGAAAACATGTGACCTTTTACCTTCTGAGTTTGACTTATTTTGCCTAACATGATGGTCTCTAGTTTTATCCATTTTCTTACAAATGACATAATTTCTTTTTTTTAATGGCTGAATAAAACTCCCTTGTGAATATATATTACATTTTTTTGTCCATCCTCTACTGATGGACACCTAGGCTGGTTCCATAGTTTGGCTATTGTGAATTGCCCTGGGCGTGCATATATCACCATAGTATGATGACTTTAGTTCTTTAGGATAAGTACTGAGAACTGGTATTGCTGAGTCATAGGATGGTTCCATCCCTAGTCTTTTTTTTTTTTTAATATTTCTTTAGTTGTAGTTGGACATAATACCTTTATTTTATTTATTTATTTTTATGTGGTGCTGAGGATCGAACCCAGGGCCTCACACATGCTAGGCGAGCGCTCTACCGCTGAGCCACAACCCCTGCCCCATCCCTGGTCTTTTAAGGAGCTTCCCTACTGATTTCCATAGTGGTTGGACTAATTTACAATCCCACCAATAGTTTAAGTGTTCCATTTTCTCTACACCCTCTCCAGCATTTATTATTATTTGTATTCTTGCTGACTGAAATTCTGACTTCTGACTGGTGGGAAATGGAATCTCAGTGTAATTTTGATTTGCATTTCCCTAATTGTTAATGATTTTGGAACATTTTTTTTTTTATATATTCAGTGGCCATTTGTATTTCTCCTTTTGAGAAGTGTCTCTTTAATTTGTTTGCCCATTTCTTATTGGATCATTTAATTTTTTTTTTTTGGTGTAAATTTTTTTGAGTTCTTTATATATATTATGTATTAATTCTGTGTCAGAAGAGTAGTTAGTGAAGAATTTCTCCCATCCTGTAGGTTCCTCTTCATATTCCAGCAATGGCTAGGCACTAAACAGGAAACTTTGCTGTGCAGAAGCTTTTAACTTGATGTCATCCAATTTATTAACTCTTGGCATTATTTCCAGAGCTCTAGGGGTCCTAATGAGAAAGTTGTGGCCTGTGCCTATATGGTGTGTGTTGACCCTACATTTTCTTTTAGGAGTTGCATAGTTTTGATCTATTTCAAAGGTTGGTAGGTCTTTGATCCATTTTGAGTTGATTTTTTTGTGCAGGGTGAAAGGGAAGGCTCAAGTTTCATTCTTCTACCTATGGATAACCAGTTTTTCCAGTACTGTTTGTTAAGATTGTCTTTTGGAGGAAACCCTTACAAATTCATTCTATGAAGTTAGTGTCACTGTGAAACCAAAACTAAACGGGCACTTCAAGGAAAGAAAACTTTAGACCAATATCCCTGGTGAACACAGGTGCAAAAATTCTTTATAAAAAATACCAGCAAATAGCGTACGAAAGCATATTAAAAAGATACTGCAGCTGGGCATAGTGGTGCATGCCTGTAATCCCAGCAGCTTAAAGACCGAGGCAGAAGGATCCCAAGTTCAAAGCCAGCCTCAGCGATGGCTAGGCACTAAGCAAGTCAGTGAGACCCTGTCTCTAAATAAAATACAAAATAGGGCTGGGGAATATGACTTCAGTGGTCAAGTGCCCCTGAGTTCAATCCCCAGTACCAAAAAAATTTTTAAAAAGATAGTGCACCATGATCAAGTGGGGTTCATCCCACGGATGCAAGATTGGTTCAACATACAGAAATTAAATAAGTATAATTCACAACATCATTAAACTCAAAAGACAAGAATCACACAATTATCTCAATAGATGAAGAAAACACATTTGATGAAATACAGTGTCCACTCATATTCAAAACACTAGAAAAACTAGGGATAGTAGGAACATACATCAATATTATAAAAACTCTATATGTTAAACCCAAGACCAACATCATTCTGAATGAAGAAAAAGTGAAAGTATTTCCTCTAAAAACTGGAACAAGACAGGGATACCCTCTTTTACCACTGCTGTTTGACACACTCCAACTCTGGCCAGAGCAGTTAGGCAAAAGAAAGAAATTAAGGGGATACCAATAGGAAAAGAAGAGCTCAAACCATCCCTATTTGACAATGATATAATCCTATATTTAGAAGGCCCCCAAAACTACACCAGAAAACTTGTAGAACTCAAACAAATTCATCAAAGTAGCAGGATATAAAGTTAACAACATAAATCAATTGTGTTCTATACTCCAATGATGAATCAGCTGAAAAGAGAAATTAGGAGGACTACCCATTCACAATCACCTCAAAAAAAAAGAAGAAAAAAACACTTGGGAATTAATCTAAAGAAAAGAGTTACAATGAAAACTACACAACACTAAAGAAAGAAATTAAGAATGCCTTAGAAGATGGAAAGATTTCCCATGTTCTTGCATAGACAGAATGAATATTGTCAAAATGGCCATGCTACCAAAAGTGCTATGCAAATTTAATACAATTCCTATTAAAATTCCAAAGTCATTCTTTACAGAAATAGAAAAGGCAGTTACAAAATTCATTTGGAGAAATAAGAGGCCCAGAATAGCCAAAACAATCCTTAGAAAAGTGAAGCAGGAGGCATCACAATACAAGACCTTAAATTACACTGCAGAGCTATAGTAACAAAAACAGCATGGTTTTGGCACAAAAACAGATATGAAGACCAGTGGAATAGAACAGAAGAGACAAAGACAAATTCACACAAATACAATCTCACACTAGACAGAAACGCCATAAACATACATTGGAGAAAAGGTAGCCTCTTCAACGAGTGGTGCTGGGAAAACTGGAAATCCATATGCAGCAGGATGGAATTTAACACCTCTCTCTCACCCTGCATAAAACTCGACTCACAGTGGATCAAAGATCTAGGCATTAACGGCTGGTAGAGAACGTGCTTCACATGTGTGAGGCACTGGGTTCGATCCTTAGCACCACATAAAAAGAAATAAAGATATCATGTCCATCTACAACTAAAAGAATTAAAAAAAAACTAGTCATTAGGTCAGAAACCCTGAACCTACTGGAAGAAAATGTTAAACCCAACACTCCATCATGTCAGCTTAGGAACCAAATTCCTTAATAAGACTCCTAAAGCATAAGAAGTAAAATCAAGAATCAATAAATGGGATGATATCAAACTTAAAAAAAAAAAAAACACTTCTTCACAGCAAAGGAAACAATCAAGAGCATGAAGAGAGAGCCCACAGAATCGGAGGAAAATCATCGCCACCTATACTTAAGATAAAGCATTAACTCTAGGACACATAAAGAACTCAGAAAAACTTAACACCCAAAAAACAACCCCATCAATAAATGGGCAAAGAACTGAACAGAAGCTTCACAGAAGAAATATGAATGGGTCAATAAATATATAAAAAAATGTTCAATTTTTTTTCTAATCTAATTTTTCTAATCTCTAGCAATTAGAAAAATGCAAATTAGAACTACACTGAGATTTCATCTCCAGTCAAAATGGCAATTTATCAAGAACACAACAAATGTTGGTGAGGATGTGGGAGAAAAGCATAGACTCATACATTTCTGGTGGGACTGCAGATTGGTGCAACCACTCTGGAAATCAGTATGGAGATTCCTCAGAACATTAGGTATGGAACCACCATTTGACTTGGCTATTCCACTCGTAGGTATATATTCAAGGCAGCTAAAATCAGCATAGTACAGTGAAGTGGCCACATCAATGTTTATAGAAGCTCAGTTCATAGTAGCCAAGCAACTAAGTGCTCTTCAACAAATGAATGGATAAAGAAAATGTGGTATATATACACAGTGGAATATTACTCAGCCATAAAAAAGAATGGCTGGTAAATGGATGGAGACTAGCATGCTAAGTGAAATGAGCCAATCCCAAAAAACCAAGGCAGAATGTTCTGTCTGATATACAGATGCTTAACATATAATGGGAGGCAGTGAACAGAAGTTAAGTGGGTTAGACAAAGGGGAATGAAGGGAAGAGAGGAAAATAGGAATAGGAAAGACAATGAAATTAAGACAATGGAATTAACTTTCCCATGTACATATATGAATATACCACAGTGAATCTCCGCACCATGTTCATCCACAGGACCAGTAAATTACTTCATGTTTGTATAAATATGTCATGATACACTGTTATATGTAACTAAAAAGAACAGATAAAAATTTTTTAAAAGCATGAAGGGCAGTGTTGGGGCAGGGGCTCTTTTCTCCCGTGTATTTTTCAGCACCTTTGTCAAGGATCGGATGACTATAGGTGTGGAGGTTTGTCTGTCTTCTTTTCTGTACTACTGGTTTGTGTGTGTGTGTGTTATGTGACAGCCATGCAGTTTTTGTTAGTATAGCTCTGTAGTATAATTTGAAGTCAAGTGCCTCCAGCATTGCTTTTTTTGGCTTAAAATTGCTTTAGCAATTTCTGGGTCTTTTATCTTTCCAAATGAATTTTAGAATTGTTTTTACTAGTTCTGTGAAGAATGTTATTTGATATTTTGGGAACCGCATTGAATCTGAATTGCTTTTGGTAATATGGCCATATTAACAATATTAAGTCTGCTTATCCATGAACATGGGAGATCTTTCCATATTCTGAGGTCTTCTCTAATTTTTTTCTGCAGTGTTCTTTGGTTTTCATCGTAGAGGACTTTCACCTCTTTGGTTAGATTTACTCTTACATATTTAAAAAAATGTTTTTTAGGCTACTGTGAATGGAATTGTTTTTCTGATTTCTTTCTCAGCTGATTCACTGTTGATATATAGGAAAGCTACTGAGTTTTGTATGTAGTAAATCCAGTTATTTTGTTTTTATTATTAGCATATATTAAAATAAGTAGGCATATTACCAGTCCCTTACATTTTTTTTTAATTTATCTAATGATTTTTTTTTTTTCATTCAAGGTCTTGCTCCTTTGGTCTATTTGACAGATGAATGTCATAATTTATTGGCAATAAAGTTTTGGATCGATCTTAATGAAGACATTATTAAACCTCATGTGCTAATTGCTGCAAGCAACCTGCAGTGGCGTCCAGAATCCAAGTCAGGAATTCCTACTTTATTTGCTGGAGATTTCTCCACGTTCTCTGGCAGTCCAAGAGAGGGCCACTTTCAACAGAGGTTAAACAAAATGAAAAATACTATTGAGGTAAAATTACTTTCATCTTTACCACAAATTTTGGTAATTGTCTCCTATTTTGATGGTCCAACATCAAGGAGAAATGACTTATGAAAATTAAGTAGTTGAGGTCGTATTTAAGATGAGGTTTCACTCCATATTAATTACCCACAAACCTGAGGAGACAAGGGACTGGGCAAATGACCAGCTACTGGGGAGAGAAGAGTGTCTTGAAGGGAATTGAGTTCAGAGATAGAAACCAGCTAGGCAGACTAGAAACTGGAATCAGGAATATGAGTTCCCTGTGGTTCATAGCAGTCGGCCTTGTGATTAATTAATCATGTGACCACAAATTTACATTTATATTCTGTATCTTGTATCTTAACAGTTTATCCCTCTTTGATTTCAATGAATCCCAAATAGACTCTAGAATTACTTTCCCTAGGTCATATATGCGTTTTATGTACTAATATTAGCGTTTATTGTGCTTACTCTGTGTCAGGCTTTGTTCTAAGCCTGAGTCATTTAATTCTCCCCAAAACCCTATGAAATGGGGAAGTGTTTTTTGCATTTTATTGATGAGAAACAGAAGTTAAATGGCTTGTCCTTTATTATATGCCAAGTTGGAAGGACCATGATTCACACTTAGGCCATCTGAATGCAGAATTCAGAACTCTTTAACTACTAGGCAGGTGCTGTCTCCCTGTAAAATTTTGCGTTTTATAAATTGATAACTAGTAACAATTTATTTTTTAAAAGGGTAACTCTGTAGTTTAAATGTGCAAGGTGTGTTATTCAAAATTTGTGCAAATAACATTTTAAAAGCATCAGTAGCTAGCATGTAAAGGAATTTTGTGTTTGTATTTTGCTTAAAAAATCTCAATATGCATAGTGGAGAATAATATTCTGATTTATCTAGTTTCTGAATTGTGGGTAGGAGTTGCATTCATTATTTGGAGCTCCTATGGGGTTCCTACTGCTTTTATCCCAGATTTTTAAAGCTTTAGGTTAGGTGTAAAATTGCTGGGATTTGGCCAGTTGTGGCTCCTGAAATACCAGTTCCATGTAGTTTAACCTGAATGTTATTTCAGTTAATGCTTGGGACAGAGAGTGAGTGAGGCACTTCTTTGGTTTTACCTCCCCAACAAGGACTCAGTGGGAGTGATGGGTTTCCAGCTGTGAGTAGCATATAGAATGGAAAGTGAGGTTCCACTCCAAATCCAGTGTCATGATAATCTTCCTGGTGATTGGGAAGATCTCTTTCATCTTTTTCCTTAACACACACACACACTCTCCCTGTCCTTTTCCACTCTTTTTTCTGTTTCTCACTCCTCAGCCCCTTCCTTCAACAGCTAGGTGCCCCTAAATCACTGGTGTGTGTTTTGAATTTTGTATTGGCATGTTCGACAATTGCTGTCAAATTTCAGTTGTCTTGTTGTTTGTTTCTGGTCTGAACTTATTATTTTTGGTCTTAAAGGAAATAACTTGCTGGAAACATTAATTCTGAGTTTATAACTCTTCCAATTTGTTTTCTCAGAATATTGACATATTTTGCAATGATGTAGAAAAGAAACTTATGCATCTACTTAATGCAAATGATCCCAAGTGCTCCACCCCTAATAAAGAATACACATCAGAGCCACACACTACTCAAACAGTCCTCAGTACAGGAAATAAGTTTCTGGTAAGTTCATGTAAATTTAAGAAATATTATATATGGAGGCAATGATATATTCTGGTGCATATGTGACATGGTAAAAATGTGATTAAAGTTAATTAGAAAGTGTGGTTAATTAGTAGGCAGCTGCTGTTGGTAAAGGCTACTTGAAAATTGTTTATTGAAATAGCAATTTTATAAAATTCTTTGGGGGCAAACTACAAACAAGTACTTTAATTTTTAGCATTCTAACTACATGTTAGATTAAAAAGCCCATTAGGGCTGTTTCTTTTTTGCTAGAAGAGCTCTTCTTTACCATTAAAGTTCTTTGTTTGTTTGTTTATTTATTTTCCTTTTCTTTTCAGAATCAGGCATTGAACCCAGTGGCGCTCTACCACTGAGCCACAACCCTAGTCCTTTTTATTTTTTTGAGACAGGGTCTTATTAAGTTGCAGATTGAACCTGCCATCTTCCTGCTTCAGCCTGAGTAGCTAGGATTACGACATGGCTTCCTTAGAGGTGTTTCTAAGCTCAGTTTAACTCATAAAATCACAGTGGATGTAAATCAAGCTAAAGTCTTTACTATTGGTTAAATAGCTAACACATGCTAAGTGTGGCTACGTTAACACATTTAATCTTTACAACAACCCTATGAGATAAAAGCTATTTTGCACATGAGAAGACTATGGCATTGGAGAGGTTGTAGAGAGACACAATACCTTTATTTTTTTAATTTGTTTTATTTTTATGTGGTGCCAAGATCAAACCCAGTGCCTCATGCATGCTAGGCAAGTGCTCCACCACTGAGCCTAACACCAGCCTGAGAATGTAGTATTTTTAAAGAAAGGTTAATTTGATTTTGTTTTAAGTACTGTTACGTAATTATGATAGGCTACTTTTTAATTTGTTTTATTAGATGACTTCTCCTAATAGTGAGATAAATTATCAGAGTCCATTATCACTTTGTACGCCAAAAGGGAAGTCTGTGTCCACGCCTGTATCCACTCGCATGACCTCAAAGTCCTGTTCTAAAGGAGAGAAAGAGATTGACGACCCAAAAAACTGCAAAAAGAGAAGAGCCTTGGATTTCTTAAGCAGACTTCCTCTACCTCCGCCTGTTAGTCCTATTTGTACATTTGTTTCTCCTGCTGCACAGAAGGCATTTCAGCCACCACGAAGTTGTGGCAGCAAATACGAAACACCTATAAAGAAAAAAGAATTGAATTCTCCTCAAATGACTCCACTTAAAAAATTCAATGAAATTTCTCTTCTGGAAAGTGATTCAATACCTGATGAAGAACTTGCACTGATAAATACTCAAGCCATTCTGTCTGGTTCAGCAAGAAAAAGTCAACTATCTCTCAGTGACTCCATGAGGACTGCCCCCTCGGGTTCAAGGGACTCTCTTAGACAGAAAAGACACATGACATCACTGGTCAGAGATGAAGAGAATTCCCAAAACAGCACAGAAGAATGTGAGACCAGTATTCAGGACACAAGTGCAATAAGTAATATGTCTAAGAGATTGCAAAGGCAACAAAAATGAAGACAATACATTAGTTATTGACTCGGTCTTTCCAGTTTGTAAGACATGCACAGTTTCAAACTGCACATCAGTATTTGTATAAAAAGACATGAGATGGTTTCAGATTTACCGAAGTATTTGTATGTCATAGAGACATTCTTTCCTTGATTCTATTCTGGTATGCTTTTATTTCAATTGTCTACCTTAACTGTATTCAGTAACTAATCCAAAAAATCTTATTTAAATCTTTGATTGGATTGAATCACTACAGTGTTATAAAAATAAACAAACAGACTGTTTTCTTTTAGACTGTGTCATTGTATAATTAAAACAAAGTTCTTAGTACAGTTATTTTGACTTATAGTTACTTTAGAAATTTTTTCTTGTTTTAAAGAGGGGACCTCCTATGAAATAGTTTTCATATGCATAATGCATGTGTTGGTTTTGCTGTAGTTCCGTCGTTTTCAAAAGTCAGGATGAATAGATATGTAGAGTTTTCTTCTGACCAATTCTTCATCCTTAAGTCAGCATGACTACAAAAAAAAAAAAAAATAGAACCCTCAAGTGTAAAGCCTTTGTATGATTCCATTGTGGCCTCTGAAATTAAATTACTTCAAGAGTTAATCTTTTTTAAAACAGTCATCCAGACTGCAGTCTCAGAGATAGTCTTCCTCTCAAGTTGTACTGCTTCTACCTGCTGTGTCTTCAGCACCATCCCAGGACCTGAAATGCTCTTCCCATGAAACCCACCAAGGCAGAGGTTGGCAAGTTGAATTAAGATGATATTCTGTTTCTTAAGATTTAAACAGGAAAGGGATACAGCAGTTCCAACTAAGAGTTAATACTATGAAGATGTTTGTAAGTCAGGTGTTTTTAACATATCCTAAATTTATATGTAATATTTGTTCAAATCTAAACACATTTCAAAACTAACAATAAATTCTTCTAAAATCGAACTATTTCCTTCCTTAACTGTGATCCATTATTTTTCTCTCCTCCAAAAAGCATTCATATAATCGTCTATTCTTCTATTCTTAAGTATTCTACTGGTCTTGTTAATGTGATTTAAGTTTTGTCCATAACGCAATTTGGTCTTCACATCCTGATTGTTCTCCTAATGATCCACTCTATATTGGATAAAACTAGAGTTTCATGTGAACAGGAAGGAGTTTAAAGATTCAGATTTCCTTTCTGAATCCTAGAAAACAAACATGCTATTACCTCCTCCATTCTCATTCATACTACTTGTTACTGAAATAATCTAATGTACACACTTCTTTTTTAAATTATAAATAACATCCAAGCTACATGAATAAAATATGAGGTTTGAGTATATTATCCCCCCAAAAGTAACAAATTAATGATTACAAAATCAACAGTGTATGCTGCATGATAAGGAATAAGTGGTAAAAACAGTTTGTGTTATTCAGCAATCACTTAGTGAGAGCCTACTGTGTGAACAGAGCACTTGCCAGCCCTATAAATAATGTAAACAGTAATACAAGTCGAAGTTGGGTGTTCAAAGATTATATAAATTAGAAGCCATGGGAGTTGAAAACTAGGCCACTTCCAAATGGGATAAAGTTGGTGGCATTTAATCAGTTACTTTAATGCTTCTAAACCAAGTATTTCAGGAGTCTTCTAAGAAAAGAGATTGGCCAGGAACTCTTTTAGAACCCAATAATAACTCTGGATCTATAACCCAGAGCCACTTCTCCATGAGGGCCACTTCCTCAATCCAGGTGAACCAGAAACCCTAATGAGAGAGTTAGCCAAATCAGGGACTTGAATCTGATTTCTACTGCTCCTGTGGTATTAAAGGATGGTAATTCTAGTTTGAGTTCTCTGACACTTCTCCCTAATCTGGGTGAGTCAAGTTATCCACATTGAGCAGGTTCTACAATAACCTTACCAAGACACCCAGAATAACCTAGACCTGGAAATTGAGTTGTTAGTATTACAGGATTGTATGCTATGTTGAAACACAGAATTTAGCAAAACTATAACAGCAGGTTAGATTCATTCAAATTTACTATTTTGTTTGTCAGTCAAGCTTGTTATTCAAAGATAACCAATCTTTAAAATGTTAATGGAGGGACTGGAGTTGTGGCTCAGCAGTGAGTGCTGGCCTAGCATGTGTGAGGCTGGATTCAATCCTCAGCAACACATAAAAATAAATAAAGTATCGTGTCCAACTGTAACTAAAACAAATATTTTTTTTAAAATATTATAGGGGCTGAGGTTGTGGCTCAGTGGCAGAGAGCTCGCCTAGCATGGACAGGACCCGGGTTCGATCCTCAGCACCACATAAAAAAAATGAAGGTATTGTGTTGTGTCTATCTACACCTAAAATAAATAAATAAATGTGTATTTTAAAAAATATTACAGATGCATTACAGAGAAAAATTACAGACACATTGCTAGTAGTTGACAAGATGTTGAGTAGATTAACGGTAGTAGATAATGGGTATATTAAAGGAAAATCATCTCATGTGCACAGGTTTAGATAAGCAAGAAAATATAAGGTTGCTTTTGTCTTTACATTTATGCCTAATATTAGAGAAGATTAATAAATAAGCATATGATATAGTTATTGTATGACTGAATTTCTTGAGATTTAGGTAAAATTTTTTATTGTTGAGCCAAAAAAACTCAATGACAAATCCATATAAACGCAATACAATATGCCATTTTAATAACCATAAAAGCACCATTATATAAGACACTTAAAATTATACTTCACAGAACACCAGGAAAAAAAAAAAAGCTGTTGGCCAACAATAAACAGCATACATTCTACACGATCTTGTCTGTCATGGTCTCACACCAAATTAATCTGATTCCAATCTGTTGGAATTTAATTTGGATTCACAGATAAATAACACCACGGAAAACATGAAGACTGCTCATCCTCCAGTGAGCATGGCTTTTACATATCCTTGCATGGTCTATATCCTGGGCTGCTTTATTTCTTTGCACGGCTAAACATTTGGGCTGCCAACTAATTACACACATCTATAAGCATAATTTTAGAAATTAGATCTCTTAAAAATTGCTGTTTTATGAAGTCAGATTTTATTTACACTAATAGACAACAGCCAAAAGTTGTTTAATCCTGTTGAAAAAAGTAGTTAAACACAAGGTGTGATTTTAAATAACACTGATTTTCCTCAACTTGTATAGCTATTAAAGATTTGACATTTTTAACAGTGATTCATCTTTAGAATAAAGGAATATTTCCCAAAGTGATCACTTTGAAAGACAATATTTCCTTACATATATGTATGCTTTCTTTTTGTTTCAAGGGAAAATCAGTATCATTGATGAGTCACACATCTCACTTTTTAAAATACATAGTTTATCAAAGTAGGAATAGCACTAAAACCTTTTCTGCCTCTCCCTTCTCCCTAACCCTTCCAACTTTCCCGGTGGAGATGAATTTTCTGAAAAAATAAATGGATTACTTCAGACAAAGTGGTACTGAAGCTTATATATAATATAAACAAACACTTTGTTTTATTTATGAACCTATGCAACTAATTGATCACGTTCTTGGGTATGTTCTTAGACTTCAGGTTCAAATTACTTCTTTCCCTTAGAGCAAGATTGTAATCAAATCTGAAAAATTCCCAGCATCAGACCATGTATACAGGTGCACTTAACAAATGCTTGTTGAAGATAATGAATATAATGACCTCTGCTCAGGAATTTTTGGGTTCAACTATTTACACTGGAATTGGAGTTTTGGCTAAAACTAAACAAAGAATAAATACCAAAAAATTGAAGTAAAAACTTATTTAGGAAAATTTGGAATGGCTGTAAGATAGGCCTCTAATATCCATGGTGACAACCACCCCTTCTGCTAAAGGAGCTCTCATTTGTGAAGCTGCCATGAGCCCTCCGGTTTGGGAACTCTGCGTAGGAATGCCAGTATCTTGAACCATTGGAAGGCGATGCATTATTCCTGTCCTGGTTTCTGTTCATTCTGCTTGGTTTTTCTGCATGAAGTACACTATAAAAGGTAACATCATGTTCATACCGTTCTTTCATTCGGTGTATTTTTTCTCTTGGGACTCCATGAATGTTTCTTCTACATGAAAAAAATGCAAATATGTAGTTAAGGCAGAATATCAAAATGAATTACTTGTGCTTTACAAGTCCTGCATTGCATAGATACTACACTCTCCGTCCTGGGGATATCTGTGGCAAAACATAAAATTTTGCTATTCAGTTATCTCTCAGGCTCTGCTCCTGTTTTTCTGCTGCCCTACACACCCCCAAAATATCCTAAGGCTGGCTTCATAAATGTTTTGTTTTTGGTAATCTCAATCATGTGCTTCAAAATATGAAGAACACCATGAGATTTTTTTCAATTATATATTCGCCAGTTAATATTGTTTCAGGTCAACTAGTCCCCAGTACAGTTAAACAATGCTTACTAAAACAATCTTAAAATCTAGAAGGCATGGGGCTGGAGATATAGCTGTTGGTAGAGTGCCTGCCTTGCATATACAAGGCTTTGGGTTCAATACCCAGCACCACACACACACACACACACACACACACACACACACACACACACACACAAAAAAACTAGTAGGCACAAGAGTCAGTTGGGCATATAATTAGAAGTATAATTATTACCAAAGATTTCGACTACAGAATGGAGTCTATGAACTACAGTTTAACACCTCAGGCACTCCTGATGGAGGTGTGATTCACAGACATGTTGGAAACACTATCAGCTTATAACCAAAAGATGAACTGGCCTTAATCCTAAAAAAGTCAATTCCAATCTCACTGGTTAACTTTATTATACTGACATCAAATAACACAAAGAGTAAATATCAGAACTCATGCATTCAAAGTCAAGTTAGTACTATTTGGACATTTATTGCTGTATAAGTTAGAAGCAGCATCTAAACCATAAATGAACTACACAATGTTCAACATCTAAAGATTTTTATTTAGTCTAAATGCAGAAAACACCATCAACATGTGCAATCCCATGCAAAGGAAAGTGCTTTTAAATGTTCATTAATGAAGAAGCAATTTAGCAGAATGTTAAATAAGTCCTTTTAAAGGACCAAGTCCAAGCCGATATGTTGCATTTAGCATTATATTAGAAAACTGACCCAAAACTAACATCTTCACATATAATATTTCCAAAGTTATCAATTTCCAAGAATTACCATTTCTGGCCTGAAAACTACCAGTCCATTTCCAGCCTGAAAAGATTCTTTTGTTCGGTCTGAAATACCTGAAAATAGCAGGATACATAATGAGGAACTAGAAAAACAAAGAAGTACCTTGCTAACTCTTGAACGTTGAATTTCCAGCGAGTGTCAGGTTCTCGGAATATAACTTCATAGTTATTTTCAAGTGCCTGATTTTTCAAAAGTACATAAAACATTGAAGACATAGTATGTATGTTTGGGAATGTTTATGCTGCCATTTAACATTTACTACAAATCTTTTCTAAATTTCTTTTGTTTTACCAGTAATCCAATGCCTTAATTTATCTGAATACAATTGGTTTATTACCATACTTAGCCACTCTCAGATTATATTATGCTTCCCAGTGATAAATTTTGGTCAATTTTATCTAATATGGAGGAATTTAACACCTTTAAAAGTAGATCTGAACTAATTTAAAATGTCCCAAACACAGGTGTGAGCAATGTAGACTTATTTCCGCCAAATACCTTGTCCTTTTCCTCATGACTTGATTTAGAAAATCATTGTCACAGAAACATAGTTCATGAAATAAAAGTGATTTCCATATGATTCACATAATTTTCCCTCCAAAAATAGCTCTACCTGCTATATAATATAGTTTGACCCCAAGCACTGTGTCCCATTCCCTTGAGTTTAGAAAACTACTACAGTTCTCATATAACTATCCAAATATTCTTTGTACACATAAATCAAATACTGCTTTATCTCAAACTGAACTTTCTGTTGTCGCTTTTGTTTGCTCTGTTGTGAAATACAGAATGAACAAATCTCAGTAAAACAATTTCCTCATAAGTAGGTAGGATGAATAAGTTCTTATGTACTATTACACAGAAGGGTATTAATATGTAAAAATAACTACAAGAGAGGATTCTGAATATTCTCATCACGAATTACAAATATTTGAGATGATGGGTGACCTAAACATCTGGAGGTGATCATTACACATTGTATACATGTACTGAAACATCACACTACACTCCATAAATATGTCCAAATATTATTTGTAATTAATGTATAAATTTAAAGATTTCTTCTTCATTCTTTGGGCACTTCTAATTAGGGAAGGATTCAACTGTCATACCTTGAAAACAATTTCTGGGGCTAAATAGCTGCGGATGAGTGAAGTCACTCTCAGCTAATGCCCAACTCCAGGTTTTGAGTTGTGCCTGAATTCACAATTCCTCAATGCCCTGTTCATTTCCAGCCTTTCAATCATAAACTGAAGTAACCACCAAGTTGATGTTCATTCTTTAATACATTTATGCAAGTCTCACAGTCTGGGCCAAAGTAGAACTGATTAAAGTATCATTAGAGAAAAATCACACCTGTAGGTATGCTATTTTGCTCCAAATGTAAAAGAAGCCTAAAAATAGATTTTGGAGCCCAGTGTGGGAGACATTCATCTCAGAATTAAAAGTGGGAATTTTGTGTGACATAAGTAGAATAATACTTAGCTGTCAGCTTCCTGCCCCACCCTGTAGGTTTGTGGATCTTCTTCTATCCACTAGGGAGTGAAAAATTATTAGCATAAGAGACAATGTACGTCTGAAAAAAGATCAGAATGGAGACCTGAGTTATATGTTTATATTTGTACTCTACTACCTTCATAAGGTTATCATGTTGATACCAAATCTGTTTTTAAACAAAACAATCCTATTGCCCCGGAACTTCAGGCAGTAACAACAGTACACAGTGCTGAAATCCCAGCTCACCAAGGGAGGACCTGTAACCCTGCTAGTGCATCATCTAGTCCTGTAAGTTTCAGTGAGTGCCCCTCTGTGTGGAAAATATCCAAGACTGAAAAACTATCAATAATTCAAAGAAATGATTATTTACCAAGGACTATGTAAAAATTGTACCCTGAGATGAAAGAAACATCTCAGCAAATTTCAGCCATTGAACAGAGAAAAAACTAAAACTTTACCTGCTCCCTGAAAGAACTACTGTTAGTAAATGTGATATCATGGAAGATCAGAAAAAAAGGAAAGAACAATGTTTCGACTTTCTCACAAAATGTCCACAACTGAAAATTCAGAACATTTCTTCCTACCATGACTGCATAGGGCTTCATTTCCCAGGCGTGGAGGTTGGTATTATCAATAATAATGGGGGATATGCCTCTCCTCATTGCTTTTCTTGCTGCAACACAATGTTACATAACAGTGAACAACAAGCAACAATCAGAAAAGGGTGATTGAAATCCATATCTCGTCATTTTTTGTTATAAGATGTCCTCATTACACAATTTATTGCCACCTATTTCAGAACCCATTATCAGTAATTTCCTTATGGAATCTAAAGATGTTATTATACTCTGGCATTCTGATTGGGGGGGGGACAGCAGAACTTTTGATTAAGCTCCTTTCATAAAACATATTCAATCTAAAGCAGCTACAGTCTATGCACACAACAGGGATTTTGGAAAGGAATTCATCACCTCTTTTCTGGTTCCATTCATGAGCTTCCTCCAGGAAGTCAGGATTGAACTCATAGGCACCATCTTCCCTGAAGAAAAAATCATCCGTGCTGAAAATCAGGGCCCTGGGAAAGTCATGTTGCAATTGTCTAGAAAGTGGAGAAATGAAAGAGGGATTTTTTTTTATTATATGCATATTCATGGTAGAAATGATTTCCTTCCATCTCTAATGTTTAGCATTTTATAATACTGAGACCACCAGGTTTTGAGTTGTTGAACTTCAATTTAAAAAAGGGAAATGCTTATCATCTCTGGAAGGCATCTCCCCTAACTGGAGTCAAGAAAGGGCTGAGAGGCGTTTTGTGAGTGTTGCCAACCCTTGAAACTAAGAGGCTGCTGGTCACCACCACTGCCTCTGAGGCAACCAGGACTGACTCGAGGTGAAACTCGAAGGCTAAGTTGAGGGTGTGTTGGCTATCTTTCCTGTTGGATACCATCCCCCATGACCATTCCTTTCCAAGGCACCAGCATCCTCCTGAGACTTGCCCATGGGTGCCATGCCCCATATTCAGCCGTTCCCTAAACTCTTACCTGTCCCATTTCCCTTGAGTTCTGTTCTCTGCTCTGCTTCCTGCCCCACCCTGAGGACCCATCTGAGAAACTAGTTCTTGCTGAGATATGAGTTGTGGCCAAAAGTGATGTGTGTGCACTACCCTATTAAGTGACATATTTACATTTTAGCAATGACCTAAACCAAATGGAGAAAAGCACAAGAGAGGAAAAGAGGTGAACCCAATATTCCCCATGCCTTCCTCATCTCTACCACTCTGGGTCTAAATATGAAAGTAGCACAGACAAAAAGGGAAAGCCATAATGTAGCACCTCTTTTAATACAACAAAATAAAACAAAAAGGGGGTGATATGTTCTGCACAAACTCCAAAGAGAAGATGTTTCCATTTGAAATCCTTGGACAACTTTTTGGTGGAAGGTGGGTATTACACCAGGAAGTAACTGGGAAGCTCACTGAGCCTCCTTTCCTTGTTTGTAAAGTTGATGCTAATGAGCTAATAACAGGGGAAACACCTAGTGCAGCACCTGACACTGGCACACAAGTGTGTGTGCCCTTCCTCTGTCCCTATAGCACTTGCCAGAATGTCTCTCCATTCCAAACAGACTTAATGGCAAATAGAAAATATATGGTCACAACAGTCATGCTCAGAATAAGAAGATATCTACAAGTTAGGGATGGGGGAAAGGTTGGAGAAAGACAAGAGCAGAAGATGCAAAAAGAAAGCAGAGCTATTCAGTTCTTTTCTATTTTTTTTAAGAAAAAAAAATCTCAATCCAGAAAGAATATGGAACTGCAGGTTATTCATGGCACCTGAGTTGCTCTCCCAGAGCTAGATTCAATTCTTGACTCCTCCACTATCCAGTCATGTGGTCTCATCTCTCTAAGCTTATTTTCTTAACTGTAAAACACAGATTACAATCCCTACCTACTAAAATAAGCTTTTGGTAAGACAAATGGGTTGTAATGGGAAAACATTTTTATAAAGGATAAGGCACTTTACAAATGTAAAGTACTGTTATTTTGTTAGTAATAATAACAACAAGGGCACATTTACCCAACCCAGACTGTTTACATGCTATAGTAACAAAAATACACTGGAGTTACATACATGCAGTAATCTTTTGGGTATTGCAATAGATGAGAGACAAAGACAAAAATAAAGCAAATGCTTCAATATTAAAGAGTAAAATACGCTTTCCAGAAATAACAAACAAACATCTCTGGCAAAAATTCTTCAGAAAGTATAACAGAAGGAAGCATAGGGAGTTGAAAAGGTAATTCCAAACCAAGTATATTTTCCTTGTCAATGGGCTATGGTGATACTCAGGAAAACTCAACGGACATGATATCTTGATTTCAATAGCAATCTCACAGTTTCTCTTGACAGATACCTTTGTGGGGAAAATGTAGGCTCTAAGAGAATATATTTTAATATCCAAAGACTATTAATTAGTCAACCTGTTAGACATTTATTGAGCTCTTAACATGTGCCAAATGCTGTGTAAAGTGTTAAGGTACAGAAATAAACTTACTGCTATCAAGAATGCACAGCCTACTAGCCAAGGAGCTAAACCTCCCACAGCTAGTGTGGCACACCATGGAAAAAGCTAAACCAACCAAGCACTAGGGAGCAGGAGCAACAAGTTCTGACAAGAAGAGTCTTGCAAAGGAGGCAACATTTCACTTGGACCTTAGGAGCTGGAAAACAATTTCACATCTTGCAGAAAGGGCTGAGAGCATGGGGGGTAAGATAAGAAGGAAGCAAACGCTTCAGGGCCTGTGAGGAGTAAGGAATTATAGGAAAATGAGACTAAAAGTGGTAAATCACATCTGAACCACTGGTTTCAATTCTGAGTACCACAAATTCAAAGAGATATTTGATAAGCTGAGCAAAGTCCAGAGAACAGTGACCAAGTAAATATAAGGTCCACTAACCATGGAAACCATGTCAGAGGAGCAAAGATTGACAAAGAATCTGGGTTATTTAAGGTGAAAACAAATGGTAAACAGTGATTCCTAGTACTTATCCTCAGATGCTGGAAGTCTGTTGTGTAGAATAGGGAATGAACTTATTTGGGGATCAGCACTGGGGCTGGGCTAATCGTGGCAGTTCTGCTGGTCTTACCTGGTCACTCATACAACTACAATGAGTCATTGCAATGCAGGGGCAGAAGGAGCTCAGAGGGGTCCAAACAGGCCTCCCACAGGCCTCTGGTGCTCTTGGCTGTTGGCTAGCTCTTGCTCCACCTGGCTTCCCATCCTCAAGGAGGCTGACCCAGGCCTCTTTACAGACAGGCCCATGGCAAGAGGGCTGGAGTGCATTTTACTAGGCTTCCACAACACTGCGTTGGTCCAAGCTAGTTACTTTGCTAGCCTGCATTAAAAGGGCAGAAAAATATTTTCCACTTCTGGAGGGAAGGGGGAGCAAAGAAAATGTGGCAACTTTTAGTTGACCACAGATGTAAAAAGTGGCAAGAGAGAAGGGAGAAGTAGAAAAAGGACTGAATTAAAAAAATATTCATAGTCTCCATAATAATTGTCTATTATTGACTTTAAAGATATTCAAACCGAAAAGTCTAAGTCATAAGTCCAAACCTTAACCTCCAATACCAACAAATATTGTTAAAGATATCTTAGAAAAAAATTAAGGATAACAGTAGATGCATTTTCAGATATGAATATTTTTTAAGGTGTGTTTATATTTGCAAACACTATAAATTTTTAAAATTATTTTCATCACTATTATTCAGTCTAAGTAATGAAAACTATGTTCAGAGGTGAAATAATAGTATATATCTCCCTTGTGTACTAAGCAACTATGGAAACTGATTGATTTTCCTTTTTGGTCCCAGATGTAATATCCCTTCTAAGTCTGGTTTCATTTGTTTTCCTATTAAGTCTACCACCCATAGGTTTGGTTTGGTTTGTAAGACGTCTTTGGAATTTAAATTTTCCTTTCATATGTATATCCTTATCTACTCTTGTTTCCCTCTTTATAGTTCACACTCTAAACTGGAAGATAATACTCTCTAACATTTCCTTTAAGGCATATAGGTGACCAATTCATGTTTTGTTTTATTTCCGTTCTTATTCCTTTCTAGAAAACAAAATATAAAACTGTTGCCCCTTTTTATTGCAGAATTCTACCTTATAGTAAGTTAAATTGTTCAGGACCATTATGGGGAAAGATGACCTTCTCATCGTTTCCTAGGTTGCATCTACAGTCCTCCAAACAGGCAGCAAAAAATCTTGAATGTTTTTCACCATTATGGCTCATATGGGTTTTTTTTTTAATTTTTTCTGTATGATGTTCCTAAATGACCATTCCTTCAAAATCTTGTTTTGTCTTTACCTAAATGTTAAATTAGCACCAGCGGCCATAGTAGCATCTTGAAAATGCAGGAAATAAAAACTTCACTAGCTAAATACAAAACTAATTAAATAGACAACCTTGAGATTCTCAAACTTAAGTGGAAGCAATAAATACCATTCCATCAGCTTCAGAAGTGATGAGGATAATGCCCCAGCGCTAGCTTTCTGGTGGTCAGGAGCCTCATGCATTAGGGAAATTGAGAGAATGAAAATAAAAGAAAAGGGAAAAAATAGAGAGACAATTACTTCCACGTAACCTTCATCGCCCCCTTCCCCCCCCCATTCACTTAAAATCACTACAATGAGAGAAACTCAGGTACTAATCTAGATTTCATAATTTGTCATCCTTCTATAATTCCTTGCTTTACAATAGAGAACCACAGAGATATTCAGATATCTATTCAGTCACTCACTCACTCACTGAGAAAGGCCAACAGTACTATATAATATTACTATGGAAGTTTTCAAACACGTAAAGGTAGACAGGATAAGATAATCAATCCCCAAGTAGTTATGACACAGTTTCAGCAATTACCATCATCTGGTCAATCTTATTGTCATCTATTTCATATTTAATCTCATCAAATATCCCATCAGTGCTCCTATTTCCCTGGTTGTCTCTTAACATTTTCCTAGAGTTGCTTTGTTTGAATCAGGAGGCAAAGGAGAGCCACACATTGTATCTGGTCACTGTGCCTCTTAAGTCTTATTTATTCTACTGTTTTTCTCTCCTATTTTAGTTTCCACCTGAATTATTGTTCTCCACAACTTTTTACATGGGAGATGTTAAAACCTATACAAATGAGTTAAAAAACAATACAATGAACACTGTTTAACTTTTGTCTACAATCACCAGAAATTAACACTTTGCCTTCTATTTTATGTTTCTCAAATATGTATTTTTGATGAACCATATGAAAATAAGCTGCAGATATCATGATACTTTATTCCTACATTCCTTATCAAGTATCTCCTAAAAATATTCTCTTACATAACCACAATATCATTATCACATCTAAAAACTAACTTTAATTCACAATGTTAAATTTTAAATTTTTAAAATTTCCCTGGTGGTCCCAAAAATCTTTCATAAGTTTCAAGTATTTGGTTATTATGTCTCAGTAAGGTCTTCTAATCCAGAACTGTCCTGAGGTCCATTTAGGTTTTCCTTTTTGAAGAGTCCAGATTAGTTGTCCTGAGAATGT